GGGAGGCTCCCACTGCTCCCGGTTCCCGACTTCAGTTTGACTTACCGGCAGCAGTAATGGTGTCCGGGACAGGCCCCTCGCGAGCTGCGGCCCTGCCCCAGCTGTGCCCGGTGTCCCGCTGTGACCGACACCGGGCGGGGCCGGTGGTTTCAAGGAGCAAAAGCTGGGACTGCTCCATTTTCCCTGCCGGGAAGCAGCGAGGTGGAGCGGCCCGGTGGGAACCGCGTCACGGGGCAGCTCGGGGGGCACTGGGGTTACCCACCAGGGTTCACTGTCCCCCGTGCAGATGGTGGTGCCTAGATGTCACCGAGCCCTGTTTCCTGTGCCTTCTGCAGATGCTGATGCCCAAGAAGAACCGAATCGCCATCTATGAGCTGCTGTTCAAGGAGGGGGTGATGGTGGCCAAGAAGGACGTGCACATGCCCAAACACCCCGAGCTCGTGGACAAGAATGTGCCCAACCTGCACGTCATGAAAGCCATGCAGGTGGGAGGGCTTGGGGGCACTTGAAGGTGTTGCTCTCTGGGGTGGTGCTATATTATGTCCCATGATTGTGAATTGTTTCCCGTCCCCATGTCCCCATTCCTCAGTGCCCTGCTGACCCCCAGTGCTTGTGAACTGGGAGAGGCTCACCTGTAATTGGGAGTAACTGGGAGCTTTCCCTGCAGTCCCTCAAGTCCCGAGGGTACGTGAAGGAGCAGTTTGCCTGGAGACACTTCTACTGGTACCTGACCAACGAGGGCATCCAGTACCTGCGGGATTATCTCCACCTGCCCCCTGAGATTGTCCCGGCCACGCTGCGCCGGAGCCGCCCTGAGACCGGCAGGCCCCGGCCCAAAGGTAAGCTGGGCCACAGGGGAGCTGGGCAAGTCAGGACAGTGCCAGATCTGTTCGGATTGGGTGTAAAATTGTGAACAGAGCAAGGAAATGGGGTTGGGATTTGTGGCTTTTGTAGCTGGTGTGGACTGGTGTCCCCTGAGAGGGATGGGTAGAGCTGGGACCCACAGGGACATGCTCTGAGTGGGGATTGGCCTTCCCCAGGGACTGGGATTGCTGGGAGCATGCCTGCTGAGATTGGGATGTGGTGGAGCCCCACCTGTGGCCAGGTTGGGTGTCCCACTCTGCCTTCCCCATGGATGCTGAATGTGATGCTGGAACAGGGCTTGTTGTCAAAGGTTAATGGCAAACCCATGTTGGAGGATCAGCAGAGCCCACAAAAATGCTGTGGTGTTTTGGAGCATCTCTGTGAGGAGAGACTGAGGGAACTAACTGGGCCTGATTAGTCTGGAGGAGACAAATATCCACAGGGGATGTACCAGAGGATGTTGCCGTACTCTGTTCAGTGGTGCCCAATGACAGGACAAGGAGCAGTGGCCAGAAACTAAAATACACCAAGTTCCACCTCAACATGAGGTAGAACTTTCCATGTGGGTGGCAGACCACTGGAACAGCTGCCCAGGGAGGGTGTGGAGTCTCCCTGCATGGACACATTCCAAACCCACCTGAACATGTTCCTGTGTCACCTGCTCCGAGTGACCCTGCCTTGAGAGGGGTTGAACTGGATGATCTCCAGATCAGCGCCCAGCTGCTCTGTGATTCTGCATGTTGGACTTGCAGCACTGATTTTTCCCTTGGTGGGTTTTCACATCCCTGATTGCAGGGGGTGCAGCGAGATGTACTCTGGCTCTGGGGGCTTACATGGGTTGTGCTTTTTTGTGTCTGAACCACATCAGAGGCCAGGGGATACTGGGAGTTCACCCCCAGCTGCTGCAGTTTGTGTCTGAGCCAAACAAAACGGGAGCATCATCTGCTTCAAAGGAAGGAATTGCAGAGAAACTGGGAAGATGCTGCTTTCTTTGATTTCTGAGTTGCTTGGATGTTCCAAGATTTGTTCTTTAGATGCTGTGTTTATCCAGTGAGCTAAAGGAGCTGCATCCCTGCTGGGAGGGAGGGGTGGCAGCTTCTGGCTGGGACTTGTGCAGGAGGAGCTGTGTGTGGTGTCACAGCCTTGTCCTGGCGTTGGAACTCTCCTCAGACCCTTTTGGGCAGGAATATATGGAAGGGCTGCACTTAGTGCTCTTTTTTGCTATGGATGACATGCCTGAGGCAACAGCAACCTGGGAGCCACTGAGGTGGTGTAGTAAAAGAATTATTACAAAAACTGGGATTTGTATGGCCAAACCAGTGTCTGTGCATGTGCAGGAGGACACTGGGGTGTGCCAGGCACAGCTGCCCTTCACTAGATCCTGTCTGGGTGGGCAGACCCCAGCTTGTGCTCCAAGGACACATCCCAATCCCTGAGATGGTGGTCCCACCACGGCTGGGTGTTCCTGCAGGAATTTTGTCTGGTATTGATCTCAGTTTCCACAGATAATCTGCTTTTACTGTCATCAGTGTGTTCTGTGGGGGGATTTGGGGTACTGACAGTGTGGCTGTTTCAGGTTGGGGTCAGAATTCTGTCTTGCAGTTTGTGACTCAGCTGTTAACAGGATTGTTGGACAAGGCAAATTCCCAGTACTTCTGGGATTTTTACCAACAAAATGTTCGGCACTAGTTTGATGACCAGAAGTCTGTTGAGATGATGCTGTAAAGCCACTTCTCACATTATTTAACTTCCACCCTGCCACAAGCTGGGACACTTGAGCAGATTTCACCCTTAAAGTGAGACTAAAGTCACTAAAGGGAGACTAAAGGGAGACTTCCCTTACTAAATCACTGTTTTCCTTAGGTTTATTCTCCCTGAGCTGCCCCAGGCACAGCACTGCTGGCAGACCTGATGCTGTTCTGCACTTTGGGGTGCAGGAAGGAGCTGTTTGTGCCCTGGCTGAGCAGCATTTGAGGCTCTGCTCTGTTTCAGGTCTGGAGGGCGAGCGCCCAGCGCGGCTCACACGGGGTGAGGCTGACCGGGACACATACCGCCGCAGCGCCGTGCCACGTGAGTGTGCCTTGCCCCTGCCCTCTTGGGGACACTTGTCCCAGCTCTAGGGCTCCTCTCAAGGAGAAAAGGGGGAGATGAGACTCTTGGCATAGCTTAGAGTCTGTATGTGCGGGTGGATGGGAGATTTTCCGGAGTCTTGTCCAGCTGAAGTGTGGGATTTTCTTTGGGGTTGGTTCAGTAACTCTCAAACATGCTCAGTTACAGCTGTTTTGCTTTGCTGTGTTCAGCCCCAGTGTTAGTTGTGTGTGGTGGTTAAAGCTTTGCTCCCAGGCAGGAGCACTGTGCTGGGCAGGGGGTTCTGAGGGCACTGACTGCTCCTCTCTCTGCAGCTGGTGCTGACAAGAAGGCTGAGGCTGGTGCTGGAGCAGCCACAGAATTCCAGTTCGTGAGTATCTGCATTGGAACTTGGCTTCCTTTGTTGAAGGCTTTGATGGGATAAATTGGAAGGTCCTGCCTGTGGGACTCTGAGGGTGTCAGAGAGGCTGGAAACTGTCAGCCTTCACACACAGCTCGCTTGCTGTAGGGAAGGGATGTGGTGGGACAGAGAGCAGTAACAGGTTTGAGAGCAAGCTGAGCTCTTTGGAGATCCCAAAAGTATTTTAGGTGTGGTCCACAGAGCTGGCTGGAATGGGTTGATGTTGCAGTAGCTGGCCGACCTGTGCCATCACAGAGCTTTGATGATGTTTGTTCTTGCTGTCATTGCTTAACACAATGATTTCTGACACTCCTTTTGCTGTTTCAGAGAGGTGGATTTGGTCGTGGACGTGGTCAGCCCCCACAGTAGAACTTCATGTTTTGTGTATAATAAAAGAGGTGAAAATGCCACTGGGTTCATGCCCGTGTCTCTCTGAAGTGCACAGAACTCACGAAGCACAGCGTGACTCACATCTTCAGCATCTGGAGCAGCACTTTGGGAGTGACTAAATACAGGTTCTAGTGAAGGAACTCTCCAAGTTTAGGGGGTGTGGAGGTGAGTCCTGGAGGAATGCGGGAGCATTTCCCATCTGCCCAGGGCGATGCTGATTGCCAGCGATGCAGCAGGGCTGGGCTGGGACTGAGCTGTTCTGCAGATGGAAAACTCAGCTGTGCCAGCCCGTGTCCCGCTGATCGGGACACAGCTCGCGTGGGCGGGTCCCCGTGTCACCGCTGCGCTGTCACCTGCGCTGGCACTTGGGGACGGAGGGTGGGCCTGGCGGCAGCACCTGGGCAGTGGCCACCGGCCGCCGCCAGGTGTCGCTCGGCAGCCGGTGACTGATCGGTAACGGAC